CCCGGCGCATGCCCCCACCTCCTCCCGCTCGGACTCTCGGTGCCGGCCCGGCTGCAGGTAACTGAGGGTGCCGGGCACTGGTGGGACGGTCGCATGGGGCGTGGAACAGGAGAGAGGGGCTGGAGCCGAGGCGGGAGGTAGCAGGGGGGCCCACATAGGGCTTGGCCAGGCGCGGAGCTGGTGGGGCGGGAAGGGAGCCTTCCAAGGGTGGAGGGTGAGCATCGGGAGCTCGGCTGGGCGACCTGGGCGTCCGAGATCAGTCCAGAGGGTAACTCAGCCTCTCCCAGGACACCTGTCAAAGGCTCGGTCTGTGTCTGGGGTCTTCTCCAAGGGAGTCTGGGGTGGGCATGTGAGATGGCAGCGCTTTCTGAGCGCACAGATTGGGAGGGGTGGCAGCTGTCCCGGTCCAGCGCTCCGAGGAGACCGCGCCGAGGAGATTGGGACCTCCCGGACTTCTCCCCGAGCGCGCTCCTCTTCGCCGGTCGCATGGCCCGCTGCTCCCAGCAGTTCAGACCATCAAGAAGGGCGGGGGGTTTAGGCACGGAGACGGGGAGGGTGTGGGAAAGGAGGGAGGAAGGGAGGAGCAGCCAGGATGGAGAGGAGCCAATGTGGGGGCATTCTTCTCCTAGCCCATTTTGGGGCGCTCTTCGCCCTCCTCACCACGGCCCGGGAGCGCGCCTCTGTGCCTTTGGGGGTATACCAGCGGGCGACGAGCTAGAAGACACCGAGGGAGCTCCGGGGAGAGACAGGTGGGGCCGCTGGTGCGAGTGGAGGGCTCTCGGAGCGCCCAGGCCGGCGGAGAAACCCCTCGGAGCAGCCACCTTCCCTTCCCCGAAGGGGCCTTGCGCTTTCTGCCCTCCCTCCGTCCGCCCCAGGTGAGGCGGCTGCGTGCTCGCCAGAGAGAGAAACTTCTGACTTCGTTCCTCCCTTCCTCAACTACCTGTGTCGTTCTGAACGCTGGCCCGTCTGGCCGTTTCCGAGCAGCCTCACTCCGGGCGACCGGGAGGACCTCAAAATTAAGAGGTTAAATCCTCAGCCAAATCGGCTTTTCGGGCCAGAGTCTCCCGCCCTTTTTTCGTCCTCTACGCGAAGAGCTCGCGGTGCTCCAGGCTGGACGGCTGGGGAAGGGGTGTCGCTGCCACAGTCGCCAGTGCTACGTACCCCATACACACACCAAGAGCGCAGCGCAGGAGTCCCGGCGCGGGGGCTCCCTTCCCGAGTGGTCTGGCCCCGCAGCCCCTTCCCAGTGCGCCCTCCTGCCCTGGGCTCCAGCCGCTGCAGAGCTTGATCGTGACAGCCGGCCCCCTGGGGTTCCGGACCCGGCTTCTTCTCCCGAACTGCGGGTCCCTGCTGGGCCCTATGGGGACTCCCATCTGGAGTCAAGGGCGCAGCGCGTCCGAGTGGCCTTCGCCAAGTCAGCCGGTCCCTGCGCCGCCGACCCCGATTTTAGGACGCGAGCGACCTGGGAAGAAGGGCAGGTTTGTGCGGAGGAGGAAGCTCTTCTTTTATCCACAGGAGGAAATGCCCACCCGAGTAACCCCCCTGGCTCCTGAGAAGACCGCAGCCGCGGGGGGTCGCGCGGGTCCACTTGTGCGGTGCGGGGGCCGTGGAGCTCCGTGGACTCTTGGGTGGACTCGGCGTTGTTGAGGACACGAGTCCCTGGCTGCCGGCGCGCTTTGTTGGCCGGGGCGGCTGGGCCGCTGCATTGTCCCCTCCGGGAAGGGGGCAGCGGGCTGCGCTGGGACCCCTCGCAGGGCTGTGAATACCAGTGGCTCCCAGGAACCCTCGACCCTTTGTGTCCAGCGCTCGGGTCTGATCTTTCCGACCTCTGCAGGGATCTTGTGAATTATCGAGGGGGGAAGGGACAGGGAAACTGGGTGAGAAGGCTGAGGCCTGTGGAGGTCCGCCTCCCCCGAGTGGGGCGGGGGCCGAACCCCGACCTCACCCCCCCTTCCCCGGCCCTGCGCTGGAAGTTCTGCCACAGCTGGGTCCTGGCAAGCGACGCGAGGCAGGTCTTTAGGATGGGGTTTTTTAGCCTGAGGGAGGGAGGTGAAGCAAAAATCCCAGTGCTGAAGAGGGCTTGGTTCTTTCGGGGTGGGGAGGGGGTTCCCTACTTCAAGACCGAGGCGTTATTCTAGGAAACACCTGGTGGCGAAAGCCACGTCACGTCACGTCAGGCCTCGGGGACCAAACATGCATGCCAAAAATAGGGATCAGGGGCGGGTGCATTAAGTTTATCAGGCGAGTTTGAGTTTTGGTGTAATAAAAATGCAGGCAGTGACTCTGAAAGATGGCTGGGAGCGGGTTTTCTCTGGGGGTGGGGGGATGATTTTTTGTGACTTCTTCTCAGCCGCTGGATCTCTATTCTACTCGAGACAATTTGCTGCTTATCAAGCCCTGCTAAAAATTAGTTCACACGAGGGTGTCCTCCCCCCACAAGCATCAAAACCGTAAATCTTTCCTGATGTCTTTCCCGAAATAGAGTATTTCTTTAAAACTGATGTTTTAAGACTAGCGCTTAAAGATGGCAAATAGACAATTTATTATCTTTCGTATATTGACTTTTATACATATGTCTGAAAAACTCAACAAACAGCCCATTTTAAAACCGTATACCCCAACTTATTTTTATTAAAGTTTGTATTTAAGATTAATTATTTCTCGGAGATTTTTTCTTTTGCCCATATAGGGTGTTTTTTTTTTTTTTTTTTTTTTTTTTTGGCTACTTGAATGGCAGATTTGCAAGTACAATTTCATCTGCACAGAGGAACAATAGCTTTCAGTTGCACAAAGGACTTCTCCCACCCTGAATTCAGACCGCAATGCCTCTTGCTCTGATAATAGCTTCTGAAAAGATTTTGTAATGCAGAGAATTAATACATGATTATTTCCGCCTGACTTCTCTCATTTATTAGAATTCTGTGGCAAATTCCAAATTAAAAATAGTTCAGTTAACAGTTTTAAAAAACACTTTTAAAATATTTTAAGACACTCCTCCATATTTTTAAGTTTGGTCACTTGCTATATCCTGAAAACTTTAGTCCTAATCAGCTCTAAAGTGATAGTTATTATATTCTAGTAAATACATTTTAGAAAATTTAGAATGAAATTGCCAAAGAATTCTAACATGATTCAAACAGAAACCAAAGACAAACTTACAGCAGTTCGTGAATGGTCTCTCAAACTGATTTCTAAGTTTTACAGGAAAAAAGGTCTTTATAATTTAGTAACATATGCTAACACAGACAAACACAGGATGAGACTGGGTTGCAAATCAAGTTCCTTAGAAAAGGTGCAAATGAAAAAATCAACAATATTGGAAGTTTGATATTAATGGTATTGAGTGCTTGTGTCCATAAGTCTTTATAGTACAGGCATATTTTAACATTACAAGTCGATGACTCAGAGTATGAGCTCCTCTGTTCACTGGTCACATCACACAGCCTTGGAAATTTTTACATTTTGCTACCTGTCAACAAACACCATAAAGTTTTATATTTGTGTGGCTGTATCAGTTCTCACCAGTGAGTTTGGGCATAGAAATTTTTTTTTTTTTCCCTTTCCTTTTCTTCTCGTTCCCTTTGAGCTTACCACATGAACAGCTTTAAAAAAAAAAAAACAGAAAAGAAAAAGAAAAAAGTTTTAAAGGCATCTGGCCATAAATGGCTCAGAAGGGACTGTATGGAAGCCCTGTGCACCGTCACTCAAAGGCACAGAGTAAACCAATTTAAATTGGTCAGGACAATGTCTGCAGATTTTAATTTCCAAGACAGTTCCACCAATTGCCTCTATGGCCAGACGTCTATTTTGAATCACAACTTCTGCAATACTGTATATTCCAAACTTGAGGGGCTGCAGGTACAGATGGTTGAGAGGATGGAATGTGCAATATTGTAATTCAGCCTACTCTCAGGATAGATCTAACCTGATGCAAAATTGACTTAATTATTTCTGATTGTTTTAAAATACATATACTGTTCCTGCATCTGAGAACTTGGGACTAAAGAGTGCATCCTCCTTGGGGGATGCACAAGACGCCGGGCCCAGCTTGTGCTGCCAGGCTCCGGAGGACTGCTTCTTTCTCCACCTTCCTCCTCCTCACTCCTTCTTCCCTGTTTCAAACTTTCAGTGAATGGAGCTGCCACTATACCAAAGGAGGTGTTCTGCTTTTAAAAGACGTCTGACTGTAAATGTCAAAGTCATAAATATTTAAACATCATTTTCTTTCCATTTCAAGTCAAGACAGATAAGATGCCTCTAATTAGGCTAGGCTCTCTTCTGGGCCCAGCCCCAGGAAAGCGCCTGCAGACCACCCCAAGTCGCTCAGCCTCCTGGAGATGGGTGCCCCAGGGGAAGAGGGGGCTGAGGCCCACCAAAGTCATCCCTGGGTCAGGGCCTGCCTCAAACTCACATTCAAGCTCACAGCAGACTTCTTTCTTTCTCTAAAAGGTTGTGGTGAGCAGAGGCTTAAAAAATTTTTTAACTCCACAAAAAGGAAGGAGGTAAAGTTATTATAAAGTCATTGAAACTTGATCCCCGTGGCTAGAAGAGTTGTTCTCGCATTTAAAAAAGAGAGAAAGACTTTCTATAAATATTCGTCTCTTCCGGGATTCTTAGGCTTGACGGCTTTTCCCTCCCCAACCACCCTTCGCCCAGCGTTAGGAAGGACGTCGGAAACCGTTGGGGGGAGGGGGTCCGGAGAGAGCCCTTCTTCAGTTTCCTCGGTGGTGCCCTCTGGCCAGTCGGGCGGCGGGTTTCCCAGCCCGTCCCTAAGAACGAGCGACCTCCGTGTCCAGCGACCCCAGCCGGTCCCTCTGGCCAACGTCCCGCCATCCCCGCCCCGCCAGAATCTTCTCCCCCTCAGCCCCGGCGCTGCTCGCCGCCGCCGACCGCCCCGCCGAGGCCGGGGTACCTGCCACACGCCGCCTCAGCCAGCCTTTCCCCGACGGCAGGAAGGGCCTGCTTGTGGGGGGGCCGGGAAAGGTGAACCTGAGGCGGACTCCTACCCCACCGGGGGAACACGGCTTCCTCGCAAGGGAAGCAGCTGGGGACACCACGGAAAACGGGACGCAAGGGCACGGGGTCCCCTCCTCTTCCCTCTCCCCCCCTCTTCTTCTCGGGGGTGCCTGGAAGCCAGCGGGGCCCCGGAGAGAAGGGCCCCAGAGCTCTTCGGGCAGCCACTCCCCTTGACATTTTCCTTTGGCCTTTGAGTAAATCCGAGCGCGCCCAGCGACGCTCGGCCTGGCCGGATTCTGTTCCCCGCGCGGGCCGAGCACGTCGAGGGTGGCAGCGACTGTCGGTTGCCGGCGAGAAGAGCCCTGCTGACCGCGGAGGCCCCGCTCGGCCACCCCGGCCTCCCTGGAAAAGCTTCGGCGCGGTCCCGGGGTGACGTCCTGCCCTGATCGCTCCTGTGTCGAGCAGGTCCAGGCCATGACATGTGGACACCGCCACTGCCCCCGCCCAGCGGCCCTTGCACGTTCACGGCCTCTCACCTGGCCCGAGGGACAACCGGGCAGCGCCTGTGCCCCTTTGTCGGGGAGCCGACAGCCCTCGCGCACACGCGCCGCCCAAGCGCGTCTGGGCTCTGGGAGGCGCGCGTGGGCCGTCGGCAGGGGGTGCACGGCTGCGTCTGCTACACATCGTGGTACTGCAGGTCCAGTCAGAACCAGGCTGGTCACCTCGTGTGTGGGGGCCTCACGTCGCCGGGCTGGAAGCTTCGGGAAGTCCTGTTCCCCGGCGCGGTCAGCCACGTGGGTTTGCCTGCTCGCCTGCCCGGGGGTGGGGTAGAGGCGCGAAGCAACCGCTGGAGGGACCCAGCCAGGATGGGGGGGATGGGAGGACAACCGGGTGCCCCCACCCGGTTCCTTCATTGTCCTTGTTCCGTTGGCCAAGACGAGGCAGGCCCCAAAGCCGGGGCCTCGGGAGGCTCGGGGCGCCCCACGGCGGGCGGGCCTGAGGGGGGACACAGGGCGGTCCTGGAAACGTGCTACCCAGATGTCTCTCGGGCGTCTCTCCCA